ATTATAATAAAAAAAAAATCCATAATAATTAGACTTTGTTATAACATGTACTAGTTTCTTGCCATATCAACAAGTCTACCATAGGTAATAAGAAAATTACATACTTATAAGATATAATGCTTAACAAAGCATAGTTATAAGAGTGAAAGAATGATTTGGTTGTTTGGTTATTAATTATTGGCATAACTAATTATAAAAGATGCATTGATATATCAATATAATAATTTTTTTTTTTAGTAATTTCTTATGTCAAAATTATCCACTAAAGAAGCACTTACTGTCAAAGATAAGAACTCAATGAAATCAAATAAATAAATGAGGCTTTCTCTCAAAAAAATACAAAAAATAGAAATAGAGAGGTATATACATTAAAAAGGAAACTAAAATGGCTATTGCCAAAAGATAAGAAAACTAGAGACTCTTGAAACTAAGTTGTAGCAAATTGTATTTGCCACATATTCTAATCTTTGTTTCCTTTGAAGGTAGTTAATAGGTCCTCTAAGCCATTGATAATATCCCATTCCACGATAGGAAGACTTCCTTATTATTTAATCATTGTTAAAACCTTTGTAACTTCCTTCAAAAAAAATATTTGTAACACCATCAACAATAGTTGCTACCTCCAATAAAATCAATAAACATTGAAAGTCTCTTCCTAAGTTATGATATTAAATATTTTTTTGATATAACACAACTAATAAATGAAAGAGAAAAGAAAAAATTACAACATAGAAGATCTTATTTTAAAATATTAAAGCAAATTATCTTAAAAATGTAGATAATAGTCAAAAGATAGTAAAATTAAAAAATGCTAATGCTATCTTTTTGTAAAATAGGCTTCTACTTACTTTAGGGCCATAAAAAAAAAAAAAAAAAAAAAAAAAAAAGTAGATTTAAAAATTAAATGATATAGACATATGAAAGGAATAAAGAGTAGATTTTAGCAAAATTAACCTCAAGAAGCTAAGAATTGATATCCGGAGAAGACTCGTTGTCAACATGGATCAAAATCATACCTTAAGACACAAAACTGTGCATCTACAATGACTTTGAAGTTCTTTTGGAAGATCAAAGAGTGAGATTTGAGAGTAAACTTATAAAGAGATTTTTAAGGATTGAATTTATATCAATTGAGTTTATATTTAGTTTTGGAGAGATTTTCAAAATTAGTGATGTTCTTCGTTGATTTAGATTTTGAAAAATATAATTATGTCAACATATTTGAGAGTTTCTTAAGTTGTATAGTATGTATATGAATAAATTTTGGATAGAGTATTAATGTGCTAGTTGTAAATATATGTGCAAATTTTGAAAACAATTAAATGGTTAGATCAAAGTGTGTGAAAGTTTTTGTAGATTGAAGTTTCAAAAATTAGAGTTTGATAATCAGTGAGTCTTTTTAAGATCTTTCACAATCTGTCATTTGAATTAAAGTGATTTTTTTTATATACAGACTAGACTTTATTTTCAATAGTTTAAGTAGATTTTGGAAGAAATCCAATGATTCATAAAGAAAATATTAGTACTAGAAGTTCAATATTTAGATTGGAGTAGGAGGCTAATCAACACCTAAATAGATTTTAAGATTTTTCTTCTATATGGTATGTGCAATTATCTTCAAATTTTTTATACTTATTTTTAACTAAGAGGTTGAAAGGTATATAAATTTTTAAGTAAGATCCATGGTTTCATCAATAGATATTGAGGTTCTAATTTACTTTAGAATTGATTTGAGTTGATTAGGATTTGGTTTAGAATTTAGGATTTATTTAGGATTTATTTTAGGATTTAAGATTTTTCTATGGTTTATTTTAAGATTTAGGATTCTTTTAGGTTTGATTTAGAATTTAAAATTTATTTAAAGCTTAATATTTGTGTAAGGTTTGATTTAGGATTTTGAATTTAAGATTTGTCTAAGATTTTTTTTAAGATTTAGAGTTTGTCTATGGCTTATTTTAAGATTTAGGATTTATTTAAGGTTTGATTTAGGATTTAGAATTTATTTAAGGCTTAAGTATGCTTAAGATTTGATTTAGGATTTAGGATTTAGAATTTATCTAAGATTTGGTTTGAAGTTTAGGATTTAGTTAGGATTTAGTTAGGATTTGATATAGAATTTAATTAAGATCCATTAGGATTTTAATTAGGATTAAAATAGAATTTGATTAGGATTTATTTAATATTTTTTAAATATTTCTTTAAGATTTTTTGTGGATTTCTTTTGGATTCTTTTAGGATTTTTTTAAGGTCTAATTATTATTTCTTTATGATTTCTTTAAAATTTCTTTAAAAATTCTTCATGTTTCTTTTGTTATTTCTTTTAGATTTTTTTGGATTTGATTAAATCTTAATTAGTATTATTAAGAATTTATTAAATTTTATTTAGGATTTTATTAAAGTTGTTAGAATCTTCTTGTTACAATTTTTTTTCTATTTTCTACAATCAAGTGCGTGGTATATTTTTAAGCAAGATTTTTTATAATATGACAATGCATTGTATTTTGCCATCTATTCAAGGAAGAACATATCATTCTTGAAGGTCTTCATCTCTGTTATATCATTTTAAAGGCTATGATAATTATAATTTCTTGTCCAATAAGTCAATAAATGATGGCTCTTAAGCTGAATCTGCTGGCTATTGATTCTTTATCCATTTAATACCATAATTATATAGAAACTAAAAACAAGGATAGAAGGTAGAATGCAATCTTTTTCAAATAATTATAATAAAATTTTTCTATCTTTTATCTTGGTTTTGATAGATGTTGTTAATGAATTTTTTTGACTTTCTTTTTTGCATTTGTAAGATTTTTTTACCGACTTTCATGTGCTTTTGTTAATATTGTATCGACACCAATGAATAAGATATTCTAATCTATATCAGCATTGCCTTGAGTCTAAGATTTCTTTCACATCAAATTCTTAATTATTACCTACTTCTATAAGAAGCAATAATATTTGATTTCTTCTTTGAATATTCACTATCTTATATGGCTCTAAAAGAGACATGTCAAATATAAGATGGATTTTCATAAATTTCGATAGATGTAACTCATAAACAACTAGATTCACTTATTTACAAATGAAAAATGGTTCAAGTTTATAATAATCCAACTTAACACAAGGACAAATAGTTTTAATATTATAGTAAAGTAACCATATCTTATCACCAATATAGAAATGAGGTTGTTCCTTATGATAAGCATCCACGTTGCTCTTTTTTTATTCTTGAGCATCTTTTAGTTGTACCTTTATTATTGTATGTAGCTCAAATAAATTTTTTATAAAATCTTCTACTACAAGGTTATCAACTTTTGAAAAGTCAAAAGAATCAAGTTATAAATGATAATCATAATTAGTAAAGAAAGATGTTTATTACAAAGAAGAATGTACTTTGTTATTATAAGCAAATTTTGCTAATGGCAAAATAATTGTTCAATAATCTTAATTATAGTTGATGGTATACTTCAAATATTGCTTCAAAACTTTATTTACATACTTTGTTTGTCCATTAGTTTGAAGATGAAAAGTTGAAGATAGTTTTATTTTAGCTTTTAAAATCTTGAAAAGTATTCTTTAAAATCTTGATACAAACTAAGTTCTCTTCTCCAATATAATATCTTTAGGTAATCTATGATAGCGATAGATATTATCAAAGAAAAACTGGATTGTTTCTTCACCTATAATAGTTTTTGTACATGATACAAAATGTACCATCTTAGTGAAACAATCTATAATCACAAGTATATTATTATAATAACTTGAGACTAAAATTTTTGTGATAAAATCCATAAAAATAGAAGACCATAGTTGTTTTGAAATGGATAATAGTTAAAAAAGTCTATAGAATTGATCATAAGAAGTTTTTGACCTTGAACAAATATCATATGACTGAACAAAGTCTTTCGCTTTCTTCCACATTTGTAGGCACCATAAATATTTGGATGTAAGTTTTAAAGTCTTATTGTATCCAAAATATTTGGCTGTTAGAAAGTCATGATGTGCTTAAAAAACACATAAATATGCTACTCTTTTTGAAATATGTAAGTGTCTTCTAAAATAAAGTAGGTTGTTTTTGAACTCGAATTTGGATGCATCATGAGACTTAGAAGAAGGATTCTTGATATCATGAATTAAAAAATCAGAGAATATACTTGATTGCATTTATTTGAAAAGCATTGAATTAATAGTTAATGTTGATTTTATTGATCAAAGATGAAAATGCTTCAACTTCAAGAGAATCATTCTTTGTTGATCAAAAGATGTGTCTCTTTTTTTTGGTACAAGATAAGAATATTTAGAAAGGGCATCTAATAAATTGTAGAATAGATATTAGTTCATTTTTGTAAGATATTGATAAAATAGATTAATAGTCCATAGAATAGTCAGTTTAGGAGGACGGATGGTTGATATAGTTATTAAAAACGGTTTATTACAGGATTACGGTTAAGATATGGAAATCAATAGCAATTATATAGGAATTGTAGAAGTTTGTTGGAGTGCCAGACTATGATAGTCATGAACTAGGGTTAAGCTTGGTGCTACCTCTTT